CAGTACTGCCATTACCGACATTAGTACTGCCATCACCAACATTATTACTACTATCACCAACATCAGTACTGCCATTACTGATATCAGTACTGCCATCACCAACATCAGTACTGCCATCACCAACATCAGTACTGCCATCACCGACATTAGTACTGCCATCACCAACATTATTACTACTATCACCGACATCAGTACTGCCATTACTGCCATCACCAACATCAGTACTGCCATCACCAACATCAGTACTGCCATCATCGACATTAGTACTACCATCACCAACATTATTACTACTATCACCAACATCAGTACTGCCATTACTGATATCAGTACTGCCATCACCAACATCATTACTGCGATCACCAACATCAGTACTGCCATCATCTACATTAGTACTGCCATCACCAACATTATTACTACTATCACCAACATCAGTACTGCCATCACCAACATCAGTACTGCCATCACCAACATCCGTACTGCCATCATCAACATCAGTACTGCCATCATAGACATTAGTACTGCCATCACCAACATCAGTACTGCCATTACTGATATCAGTACTGCCATCACCAACATCAGTACTGCCATCATCAACATTAGTACTGCCTTCACCAACATTATTACTACTATCACCAACATCAGTACTGCCATTACTGATATCAGTACTGCCATCATCAACATTAGTACTGCCATACCAACATTATTACTACTATCACCAACATCAGTACTGCCATTACTGATATCAGTACTGCCATCACCGACATCAGTACTTGCCATCACCGACGGTAAATTGCACTATACAAATTCTTGTTGATTAATTGATCACTGACATCCTAGTTGCCATCAACGACATCATTATTACAACCAACATCATTACTGCCATCACCGACATCAATACAGTCACCATCTTAACCACCACCATCAACATCGCCATCCACACCACAAAAAGGTAGCCAACTGTTCAGAAGTTACATAAATTCAGTGCTCAATGTGATATTACCTGGTACAGGATGCAGTGAATTCTGAACTATAGTTAAGGCATTAGCTGATACAGATGAAATGGTTGCTAGGCTATTACCATCAACACTAGCCACTGCAATATACTGGTTCATGCTTATCCAGAAAAATCTGTTGCTATAGTAATGTAGTGTTGGAGACCTGAAATATGTTGGAATATGTAATAAAATAAATCACTTGATTACAGTTTTGAACAGTTACAAATGGAATACAAAAACTAATTTTGGTAGTAGTGAGATAAGTAGTACCTGGATAAAGCGACTAGATGCATTGTTCCCATAAATCAGGAACACCTACAAAAATAATAGATCAGTCCATCTCAGGGCACCATGAACAAACTGTCTTCTAAACAGTAGTCCTCATTCCCTATTCGATGCTATTTGTTATGTGAAGCATTTTCTGTTTTATTACATTTATTATATTGACAGTCCTGAGAATCTATGTCGAGGTGCCATGGGAGAGCTTACTCTACTTTTTCTCTAGGGGTGTTCTGTATTATGGAAACAAGGCAATTAGTCATTTTATCCAGGTAAGTATTCAAGAAATAGAATGTAAAGATCTGATTATATATTTATTTTTATATTTACATTTGTCTTTTTATTTTCATTGGAGTTCTGGCACAGGTGGCCTTCAACTTCCAAGTCTATGGGTTTAAGTCTGTTAAAAACCTTAAAATATTTTTCTCATTGTTTTTTACAAATTAAAAGAGATTTCATGGGTTCATTAAGTGGCAGATGAATTATTTATTAAAATGACAATGATCATAGATATGTACTTACTGAATACCAGCCTGCACTTCTGTCACTAACACTGGAGTTAAATCTCGTCGACTGATTAGTAAGAACAATAAAAGTAAATCAAAATTAAAAAATTAAAAAAATGATCTTGACTTGTAAAATCACTTTGCTTTAAAAAAATATAAAAATTATCTTTCCTTTTTAAAATTAAAGGTTAAAAGTCTCAATTTAAAAAAAAAATATATAATGAAAAGGAAGACAATAAAAACAAGTATAAAATTAGATTAAAAAAAACAAATAGAAAAAACTTGTAGGACCAAACAGGTTCTCGGAGGACATCATCTAAAGAATAACAAAAACCACCAATGACAGATAATTAAGATAAGGTATTATGTATGAAGTGTTTTGAAATGATCTTAAATATCTTCAAATTTAAGCATTGTTCCTATTATTTACTTTTAATAGTGTTATAAAGCAGTTTAGTATTTTCTATATCCATTTACAAGTACTTTTCAATGTAACCGAGTAAGTTTTAATATGGAAATAATCTATGGCTTTTTGCAACCCTCTACCAGTGGCTTCCATGGTCTAAAACTGTAGTTAAAATGCTTGGCAAGAGGTCACAGGTTCGAATTCTGCCAAGAGTACTTTTTCAGACAATCGATTTAGAAACTTTTATTTGAAGAGCTATGCTTGATATGATTAGAAAATAGTTTGTTCCTTAATTAGCACCGTTACTATCATTTACACTATATTTGTCCTAATTTCTGATTATATATATATGAATG